ACCCTAAACCCTAAACCTACAACTTGCACAGGACACCCATGGTATCTTTCACAGACGCTTTATAGCCCTCGAACAGGAGTATTTAGGTCGCGTTACAGCGTAGCCGAGGGGTCTGCCACTGCAGGATTGATCCAACACAGTCACAACACTGTGCCCAATGTAGACTAAATGCTACCTCAGGCAAGGAAGAGTATTAGTAGTTATATAAAACCTTCTTGGTCCGAAGCGAGCAATGTGGCGAAACTTGTTCTTTGAGGTCCGAAGCCTTTCTCTTTAGCGCTTGACATGCTGCACGTTCGCACAGTGTCGGGTGAACGACTCCTTGATGTGGACTTGGCGAGCTTTCGCGCGACGCTTCCGGCAGGGATGTCTGCAGCTCGGGCACTGAAGCAGCACTTGCACAGCACGTGTGGGCTGTCAAGGTTCAGGCAAAGGCCTATCTGTCTGTATGCTGACGATGATGAGGATGCGAATAAGGATGATGCTGATGACTACGTGGTTCTAGATGACGGGCACATGCTGAGACCCGGGGAAGCTCAGGTCGTACTTCTAAGCTTCTGCCAATCATCTGAAGCGGAAGTGGAAGCCCTTCTGGATGCTGCAAGAAGTGGTCGAGCAGCAGCAGTGGAGAGTATTCTACAAAGGCCGCAGGATCCAGATTTATGTTTTGACTGGCAAACGTTGACCGCACTATGTGCGGCATCCAGGAACGGCCATCTGGAGGTTGTACGCCTTTGCTGGAGGCCAATGCGGACAAAGACAACGCCCACAAGAGTGGCTGCACCCCTTTGTACATCGCAGCTGAGAATGGGCATTTGGAGGTTGCCCGCGTTTTGCTGGAGGCCAATGCGGACAAGGACAAGCCCATGCATGATGGTGGCTTCACCACTTTGTACGTCGCAGCTAGGCATGGGCATTTGGAGGTTACCCGCCTTTTGCTGGAGGCCAATGCAGACAAGGACAAGGCCAAACATGATGGCGAGACCCCTTTGTACATCGCAGCTGAGATTGGGGATTCGGAGGTTGTTCGCCTTTTGCTGCAGGCCAATGCGGACAAGGACAAGGCCATGCATGATGGCTCCACCCCTTTGTACGTCGCAGCTGAGATTGGGAATTTGGAGGTTGCCCGCCTTTTGCTGGAGGCCAATGCGGACAAGGACAAGGCCGTGCATGATGGTGGCTTCACCCCTTTGCACATCGCAGCTGCGATTGGGCGTTCGGAGGTTGTTCGCCTGTTGCAGGAGCCCAACGTGGACAAGATCAAAGCTTGAGTTAAGGCTATATCAATGCCGGTGGCAGATTATGGTAAAGCCCGTGTCGGACCCCTGGGAGCCGAGGGATCTGGGTAAGTATTCAGCTTAAGCATAGCATTTGGTGGGTTCCGTATTGTAATTCTGGTAAAAGGTGACCCAAAACCTGGTTCTAATTATTAAGGCCCCTACATAAGCTATTCAGATTAAGCCTACCATGATGTTTGTTCCTTATTATAACTCTAGTATAACGGGCTCCAAAACCCTGTTCTGACTATAGCTATTCAGATTAAGAATACCTTGTAGAGCTACCCTGGCCCGAGAGACCGTAGTCAAAGCCCACAAGTCGCCGAGGTGGCTGTGGCGCTTCACAACCGCTTCGAAGAGGACTGCACTGTGTTCGTTTTAGAAGCTTAGAACTTAGGAGTGTAGGGTTTCGGAGTTTAGGGTTTAGGAATCTAGGGTTTAGGAGCTTAGGCTTTAGGAGTTTAGGGTTTAGGAGTTCAGGGTTTAGGAGTCTCAGGTTTATAAGTCCAACTCTGTGGTATTGGAGGCATTGCCTTTCCGACAAAGGCTCGTTGACTTCGAACTTAGGGCTTCAGGGTTGGGTGTGTGAGGACTTACCTGGACCCTAAAGAACCCACCTTTTCAGGGTTCCTTATTATGATTTCCTTATCTAAGCCCTTACAAAGGTAGGTTCTTTGGGGTCCAGGTAGGTGTTAGTATGAGTCTTCGGCTGTGGGTTCCTGCTCTCACCGACGTTGGAGTCTGAATGAATGGCAGAGCTATTCCCTATATGTATTAAACTGAAGTATGCTACAAAATACACCCAACCCTTCAAGTCTCCCCTGAACCCTAAACCCTGTTTGAATTGCCAGGCCTCCCGCTCTCTCATTCCCACTTCCGGAAGCGATTTGGGCTTCCTTGAGCTTTCGAGAGAAGAAAGGGAGACCATGTCAGCACGTTGGGTTGAGGGCTCAGTTTCGGGGTTGGGGGGGTTCGGCTTTCTTTGCTTGGAGGCTTTCGGGTTTAGGGTTTAGGATGGTTGAGGGTTGTTTTTGAGTCCATATGTGTTAGTGTTGCAGGGCCTGTGTTGTGAGAGTTTGGGGTGGGCTGTGTCTTGAACTAAGGGGGTCCCGCAGGCTTCTTAACTTCAGGGTTTATTTCTGGGTCTCGAATGAAGGTCGGTTACATTCTGAAGCTTCCATGTGCATGCTGGGATGCTTCTGAGCGTCAGGAGCACGATCTCATGGACCAACGCATCATCTACTGTCGAGTGACGGTCTCAGTTGCACTGTTTTGTTGACGTGACAAATCGCCTTGTAGCACCCTCCCATGATACCTCTACGGACCCAACAAAGGTGGGTGTGGGTGTGTGTAATGGTAACAACTACGGGTAACTACGCGCTTGCTGGCACTCGCCGCCCAGATAGCTGGATTCATTTCTTGTCTTGCATCATCCAAGCTAGATTTTTGGAACAGTGAAACTCAGAGACGCAAGCCATATAACCCCCTTGCTCAATCTTGTAGACGAGAGAGATTCAATGCCTGATGGGCCTTAACGAAGGAAAGTGTATTCTAGATCACACTAAACTGGGTTCTTGTTAAGGGATTTAATTTAAGTTACCATAATAGGGATCTATAGTAAATCATAGGTAAACCCCGAATCCCGAAGCCTCCGAAACCCTAATCCCGAAGCCTCCGAAACCCTAAACCCTAAGACCCAACCCCCCAAACCCTAAACCCTAAGACCCTAAACCCTAACCCCCTAAACCCTAAACCCTAAGACCCTAAACCCTGAACCCTAAACCCCTAAACCCTAAGACCCTAAGACCCTAAACCCTAGAACATAAACCCTAAAGTTTCTGAAGGATCCCATTGCACTTTACTAGGCTTATGCTTCAATTCCCGGATTTTTTTCGGGGGGCTCTCTGGGTGTTTAATAATTGCGGTGCAACTGAACCCAAGATCTTACACCCTAAGGGTTTAGGGTTTAGGGTTAAGGTTTTCGGGTTGAAGGTTTAGGCTTTAGGGTTGATGGTTTAGGGTTTCGCCCTACACCCTAAACCTCGTGAAGATTGTTCAATGATGAACCCTCAACTTCCCACCCGAAGCCCGTAACCTTCTAGGAGTTTTACAAGCCTTAAACCCTACACTGGTAGTTCTCTAAATCAGGGTTCTAGGGTCCTTGTTATAAACGTGCCGAATTATTTTGGGGACTTAAAAAGAGACCCTAATGTATAGAACTACTCTACTCAAGCTCTGAGCCCTAAACACTAAAGCCCTAAACGGTTTAGGGTTTAGGGTTTAGGGTTTAGGGTTTAGGGTTTAGGGAAACCCTTAAGTTAGAGAACCACCCACACGCTAAACCTGCTTCTTAACCCGGCCGCTGGCAAACTCTGAGGATGCCGTGGTCAAGGACAAGCTGGTGAAAGGGTCAGGGTTTAGGATTTTGGGGGTTTGGGGTTTAGGGACCAGGGTTTAGGGCTTAGCGGTTTAGGTTTAGGGATCAGGGTGTAGGGATTTTGGGGTTTGGAGGGTTTTAGGGCTTAGGGTGTCATGACTCCTATAACTACACGGGTGTTGGGCTCGGTGTGTTTTATAGGGGATCTATAGGTAAGTGTTTCATAATGGCCCTTTATCATCGTGAGAGTCCGAAGTACCTGATTGTTGGGGTTTCGGAATCCCGAACAGTTCATATGATTCATATGACAGGCTTAAGGTTTGGCGCGCATGTATTGTCAACGTCAGGTTCTGTGTCTTACTTGGCAGCTTGGAGAACATTCCCTAAACCCTAAACCGTATGCAGGAGAAGCTGCGCCGTGAGAGCCTCGTGCTCATGCGATGCCATGACCTCAAGACACCGTGAACTATGCCATGCGGGCCTGGGGTTTAGGGTTTTAGGGTTTAGGGTTTAGGGTCATTGCTTTGTTGTACAGCTATACATGTCCTATCGGACATTAAGGCTAGGGTATGTGCACATAGGTACATGGACCCTGAGAGATAGAACTTATGACGCGAAGGCTTCATCGTCCATGGGTTCACTGGGCTGCAGTGATTTGGGTGCTTCTTCGAGATCAGGGATTTTGGTTCCACGAACCGCGGCATAGGTTTTAGTTCAGTACTGGGTCGGATAAATTGCTGAGGAAGTCGTATCCCGATTCCAGGAGGGTTTGGAAAGTTGAGGCCCCAGGATTTACGATGCTTTCGAGTTTACGAACTGGGTAGTTCTCTAAATTAGGGTCCCTTTTCGGGTCCCGACAACGGCACCCTGACAAAAGGGAACCCCCAAAAGGCCCCTAATTTAGAGAACTACCCAACTGTGGTAGGGCCCTCAGCAGCAGTTCAGTTTCTTCACGCCCCGAACTCCGAATCTTCGTCTTGATGCGATGGTCGCCTTTAAAAGGGATCTATAAGGGTTACTGAAAGGTTCCTTTAAACGGCTTTAGGGTTTTAGGGTTTAGGGCTTAGGGTTTGGATCCTTCAGCCAAGTGCCCGAAATTGGGAGTTGCCTTGGGTGGGTGAACCAGTGAGCAAGCCGAGCCAAGCCTGTGGATATTGGGGCCTCAATAATTCCTTAAGGCTCCTCAGAGGGTCTTGGGCTTTCTGGGGGAGGGTTTCGGCTTTGGGGGCCAGGGTTTGGGATCTCACTACAAGGGTCCAGGAGCCTAAGGGTTACCTACACTATTATGGGGTTCCTTTTTTGACTTATAGTGTAACATTCCAACTATTAAGGCCCCTGCATTAAATTCATCGCCCTAATCCGCAGAACCCAGTATCTTCATGGATGGATCTATATAATAGGGGAAACCCAGAAACGATACCCCTTGTCAAGGGGCCGCTTCTAGGAACAATAATATTGACGCGGCCTCATATGACATAATGACTTTATGTTCTCTGCCAGAGTTTTCACTACATATATATATATATATATATATATGGATGGACCGTCTCGGAAAGCCCTCGCTCTTAGTCAGCAAGCCGTTCGCTCATGAACCAAGGGATGTTCGACGTCCTCCACCGCTGGGCATCTCTTGGGCGAGTTTGGGGACCCAGCCCGGAGGGCGCGTTTTGGGATCATAGGGTTTAGGGTTTAGGGCTTAGGGTTTAGGGTTTAGGGTTTAGGGTTTAGGGGGAGCAGAAGGGCTCGGTTTAGGCTTGTTAGTGACTTCCTGATCTTTGTAAAGACAAATCCACGCCAGTCCCTTCCGTCCTGCTGGCACATGTAATTATCTTACTTTGCACCTGGTCAGTTGGGCATAGGACAAGGGTTTTAACCTATACCATTTTGGGTGTTCCTTGTTGTAAGTATAGGATGATATACCCCCAAACCCTATTCTCATTATTGAGACCCCTGCATTGCCTTGGCCGCTTTCCGCAAAGCCATCTCGCAAGTAGTGGAGGCTGCTGATCCAGTGGCCCGCATACCAGATGCAGTGAGAAACCTGATGACGGCCGAGACCAAGACGGCGTGGCTGTCGGTGGCAACATGCAACCCTGTCTCACGCTTGGAATGGTGCTGGGCCGAATTTAAGGGCTGCTCCCAAGCGGAAGAACGTGGCGAAGGTCGTGCCTCCTGCAGTGCCATGGCGCTGCACACGCTCCTTAATACGGACAGTCGGACCCTCAACCTAACAATGTACCGAGACCGTATTTGGGGTTCAGGGATTGCTTTCGTTGTACCCTGAACTTCCAACTACAGGTGCCGCAATCTGGCACATAACCTTCTCAAGTGTCAGCCCAACGAATCCGAAGTGATGGGGCTATAGCCCAGGGCTGGCTCCACCACGGAGTAATGGTTTCGGGTTTTGTGTAAACTTTGCTATAACTATAGCAAGGAACCCCCAAGATAGTATAGGTAATTACTGGGGCCCCTATAGTACCGACTTCTTTCCGGTAAGCACTACTTGGAAGATCAGGGGGGGGTAAGTAAGGCTGCCATGGGTACCTTAGCTGGGTTGTAAGTTGTGTGAACTGCACGTACCTTAGGAATAACCCCTAGTTCCTAAGTCCCTGCTATAATGATTTAGAGATTGGAGCTAATGTCTCGACATGTAGGCTAGACCCTAAACCCTGGACTCTAAATCCTAATCCCTAAACCCTAAACCCTAAACCAACCAACCTAAACGCTACCCATATTATGGGTTCTTGATCCATGGTTATACAGGCGCAGTAAGCTACAGCAGAAGCCCTGGGGCTTCGATACCCTAATTTTAGAGTCGCAGACTCTAAGCCAAAAAGAAACGCACCCCAAACCCCAAAGAGGCCCTTATAAACCCTCAAAAAAGCACAAAAACCCAAACCCCTAAAGGCAAAACAGAATCGAAGCCCTTTACCCTCTAGAAGCCCTAAACCCTTAAACCCCTAGATCCCAAGCTCTGAAGAGAGGGCGGGCGGGTAGAGCTTCCCCTGCCCAGTTCCGAGCCCGAAGCCAGCGGCGAGAGGAGGCAATTCCAGCGCGGTATGGGTGGCTTAAGGCTTCAGGCTTCAGTGTCATAGGCCGTCGACTTTACGGCTTTAGGGTTGAGGGTTCGGTGTCATAGGCAGTCGACTTTACGGTTTTAGGGTTGAGGCTTCGGCGTCATGGGCTTTCGACTTTACGGTTTTAGGGTTGAGGGTTCAGTGTCATAGGCTTTCGACTTTACGGTTTTAGCTTAGGGTTAGAAGCATGGGCCCCTCATATGGACCCTTAGGCCTTTCTAGGGACTTAAGGGTACATATAGGGTATANNAGGGTTAAGGGCCCATACTAAGGGCCGGGGGTTCAAACTTAGATTGAGGGTTGAGAGTTTAGGGCTTTTCAGAGTTGATGCTGCACGGTTCGACGCGAGTCGCAGCTTGGAGATATGAGGGTTTTGCGTTCAGCAGTGGGGTCCTCGTTTTGGGATTCGGGTGGCAGATGTGAGGATCAAGTTTGCAGGGCTTGCGGCTGAATTAATAATCCTGAACCCTAAACCCTGAAC